AGCTTAAGCTTGAAGTCCAAAAACTGGAAAAACCTGTAGTCAGCATCCTCGCGGATAATCGCACAATGCGAATCAAGGATTAAGTCAAGGGAGTCCAGACGTATTTCCGCCTATAAGCAGATGGGAAGGTAGAGAAAGTTTTCCATTCTCTAACTCTCCTCGTTGAAGATAATCTCCCTTTTGATATGGTTCTAGGAGTGGATTGGGGAGAGGCAGCAGGAGCCACACTGCACTTGCGTGAGCATGTGTAGGCCTCCTAGTCCATCAGGTGGGGTCATGAAGGCCCGCCTGTTCCATGTGTCAGAAGTAGACAACTCCTTCGCATATTGTTGTCTTAGTGCTCCTGGGTTTCCGCGATTAGTTAAAAAGGAGCAGTTAGAACCTGTTCCATGTGTCAGAAGTAGACAACTCCTTCGCATATTGTTGTCTTAGTGCTCCTGGGTTTCCGCGATTAGTTAAAAAGGAGCAGTTAGAAGTCTTTGTAGCCTATGTTAGGCCAGTTACTGAGCCTAAGAAGAAAGGACCAACCAACCCTATTATTGCCAAGCTGTTGGAAGAGTACGCAGATCTGCCATAGGCTCGCTCAGGAGTAGTACCGCGTCCCATCTAGCGCCACATTGAGATAGAGTCTGACAGTAAGACACCAAAAGGGGCAGTCTATAGAATGTCCCCTGAAGAGTTAGAGGAGCTGCACAAGCAGTTAGACGAGCTCCTCGAGAAGGGTTGGATTAGGCCCAGTTTGCCTCCATTTGGAGCACATGTTCTCTTTGTCCCCAAGAAAGAGAGAGAGTTGAGAATGTGCATTGACTACAGGGGTCTCAACGTCGTTACAGTCAAGAACGCAGAACCACTGCCCCGAATAGATGATCTGTTAGATCGGGTGCAAAGCTGCAAGTATTTTACGAAGACAGATTTGAGTCAGTGTACCATCAGATTGAGATTCACCCTGATGATTAGGACAAAATGGAGTTCACGACTAGATATGGGCACTACGAGTTTTAGTTATGCCCTTTCAACTAACCAACACACCGGCCAATTTCCCGCGATGTATGAACGATTTGTTTAGGCCGTGGTTAGACAGGTTCGTAGTTGTTTATTTAGATGATATTTTGATCTTTAGTAAGACCCTACAAGAGCATGAGGCTCATCTGAGGCAGATCTCGGAGAAGTTGCGAGAGGCAAACTTCAAGATCGACGCGAAAAAGTGTCAGTGGGCCAAGACCAAAATCTTGTACTTGAGCCACGTCTTAGATGGAGATGGTATAAGACCTGAGGACAGCAAGATCGCAACGATTAGAGACTGGCTAACTCCTCGTACGTTGACAGAATTGCAATCGTTCCTATGATTGGCCAACTACTACAAGAAGTTTGTTAGAAACTTCTCTGCTCTCACTGCTCCCCTTTGCAGACTGCTAAAGAAAGAAGCAACCTGGAAGTGGGACCAAGATTGTACCTCGCCCCTGAAGAAGTTAAAACGGGCCTTGGTAAAGTATCCAATCCTCAAGGTAGTTGATCCATCCTTACCTTTTGTCGTTATTACAGAGGCGAGTCAGTACTGCATTGGTGCTGTTTTACAACAGATGATGGCAGGGTATGGACCCGTAGAGTTCATGTCTGCTAGATTGCCTTCAGAGAAGGTAGCAGCATCCACTTATGAGAGAGAACTCTACGCTCTCAGGCAAGCACTAGATCACTGGAGACATTACTTGCTTGGGAGACACTTCAAAGTCTATCTAGACCACGAGACACTCAGACGGCTGAAAATGCAAGCCAAGATGACACCTAAGCTTACTAGGTGGGCTGCAGAAATAGATCAGTTTGACTTTGAGCTCAAACCCATTAAAGGGAAGTACCACGTGGTTGCAGATGCTTTGAGCAGAAGAGCTGACTACTTTGGAGCTACTCACTATCTAGACATAGGGACTAACTTGCAGCAAAAAGTCAGGGATGCGTTATGTTCAGGACCCTATCTACAGTGATCTCCTTAAGAAAGTAAGGGAGGCCCCAGAGACTGAACCCAACCATCGCACCACAAACAGGTTATTGTTTTAGAAGACTGACGTCGTAGATAGACTTTGCATCCCCAAGAGTGAAGAGATCCGGAGTTCAATCCTAGGGGAATGCCACGATACAGAAGGGCACTTTGGCTGGCAAAAGATATTAGCCAACCTAACACGTGCCTACACGTGGCCTGGCATGAAAGCTGACTGCATAGACTATGTTCTTAGTTGCAAAGTATGCCAGCACAATAAAACTACGACACAAGTTCCATTGGGTCTTCTCAGAACCTCGCCTATCCCTTCAGGACCCAAAGAGTCTGTGTCCATCAATTTTATGGATGCTGGGGTCAGGAGTAGACATGGCAAGAGCCAAGTCATGGTCATAGTAGATCGTCTTAGCAAGTATGCAGTTTTTGTTCCTTTACCCTCTAAGGCACGTAGTGAGTTAGCCATAGAAAAGTTCTTTGATTCCCGGGTAAGCGAGCATGGTATTCCGCTATCCATAGTCAGTGATAGAGATACGCGGTTTACTAGCCAGCACTGGCAGGAGCTTATGCGAGTATCTGGCTCCAAGTTGTTGATGTCATCTGGCCGTCATCCAAAGACTAGCGGCCAGACTGAACAGATGAATAAAATCCTGCAGCAGATACTCAGGATGTATATTAGAGCAGAAACGATTAACTGGGATGAGATGCTCCCTAAAGTAGCTAGCGCCTACAACAACAGTGTCCACTCAGCTACTTGTCGGACTCCTAACGAATTGCAAAAGTCCTTTGGACCACGCAGGTCATTTGAAGGACTGAACCGAGACCAGATACAGAGACTGCCACCCGGAACTAGAGAATTTGCCTTACAACACGAAAAAGAGATTGCACGGGTGACCGACAATCTGAGGAAAGCTCAACATAGAATGATAAAGCAAGCCAACAAACATCGTCGGCCATCACAGTTCCAGGTAGGTGACTTAGTTTGGGTCAAGTCCAAGGAGTTCGCCCCAGAACAGAACATCTCACGAAAGTTTTTACCCGCGTATAGGGGACCGTGGCCTATCCTAGAAGTAAAGGTGGAGAGGACGGACCTTCCTACACGGTAGAAATTCCACCACAACTCCACACATACCCAGTCTTCCATGCATCCAAGTTGTTACCTTGTGTCACCAGCCAGCAATTCCCGTCGTGTCAATCAATGATTCCGCCGGATATGGATGGCACATATGATATAGATCGCATTGTGGAAGAGGATGTGTTCAGGACTGGAGGTAGAGGTCGTCCACAGAAACAGTACAAAGTTAGGTTCGCTTATCAGGAAACGGAGGACTATCGATGGTTCACAAGAACCGAACTTTTAGAGACCGCTCCCGACATAGTTCATGCCTATGACAGAGAAAGGAAAGGGAAAGGTCTTGCCTTGCACTGAAGTATTCTCAGAGGACCTGAAATTTAGGCCGGCGGGAGTGAAACGGTTTTCACCTATTATGGTGACAGATGCACTACCCCAGGGCTCGATCCCTAGACCTTTCCCCCGTACCCGTGGGTTTGAACCTGCGACCAGGCTTCTGAAAGTCGAATGCCCGACTGTTGTAAGTAGTGCGGTCGCCGGGGGTCTGACCCATAGACCTTAGTGTTAGCAGTCCTAGGGTCAGTACAGGTCGTAGTAACTGCAGCTCCGAAAGGTCAAGTCCACGACCTTCCGGAAGCTCCAGAACTGGCTCTTCGTAGGTCTTAGGAGTCAGTCCACGGCGGAGTCAGCAAAGGGCAGTCCTAGCACAGTCAGCAAAGGGCAGTCCTAGTCCTACTTAGTCCAGTCAGTGATACCCAGTCCAGGTCGCACTTTGTCTAATCAGCAAGTACCATGTGAGACTGTGTGCACCCCGGGCCCAGGGTCCAAGGGCAGACCAGCGACGATCCGAAGTATAAATAAAGAGGCAGCGTCGAGTGCTTCATTCATTCTGCCTGTGAGCCGTGCGGAAGCGCTGTCGCATCGTCTTGTGCTACGGAGGTCTGCAGGTGCCCGAAGAAGAAGAGGGCTAAGAGGAGGAAGGCGCAGCCATAGCCGTGAGGTAGTTAGTAGGAGGAGGAAGAAGGCAGCCATAGCTGCCACATAGGATAGGTTAGTGTGTATAAGTGTCGTCTGGGTATGTGTGCGGGACATCCAGGGAGATCCAAGAGTGAGCGTGTGTGTGTGTGTGTGTGAACAAGTTGCTGGAGGATACAGTTGATTGGGTGGGAATCTTTGTCTGGTGCCCTGCGCCATAGCCATCGAAGACAAGTTTGAATCGGAGCTGTGTTCCTGGCCACGTTTATCTCTGAGCTTTGTGGGTGATCGTCATCTGTTTGCATGCATGCTGAGCGAGTGAAGACGAGTCTGATTGCATAAGGGAACTTAGAACCTTGGCAATTATGCACCATGTCACCCGCACCACACATGATGCCAGAAAGTGATAAAATCTGTGTAACGACACCACCCTTTGGTCTTCAGAGCACTGATTTGCAAAAGCACCACAGCCCAGGGAAATAAGGAGGTAGAAAGAGAATTGAAGTCCTGGCGGCATCGAGAGGAGCACTGAACCCCCAAGTTCACATGTGCAGAGGAAAAGAGACACATTCACCCCCACCAAACAACTGAAAATGCAAAATGAAGAGTCAACAAGTAGAACGCGAAAGCAGTGGGCTTCGAGACAGCCAATCTTTCAGTCGCACGAAAAACAAGTCATACAGAAGTCCACACACATAAAGGCAACATATGCACACACACAAGTACACCACTCCGAAGTGGAGAACATATGCGGAAAAAAAAGCAGAAACACAGTGACAAGTACCAACAACTGCATCCACAATCCTGGTAGAGATTGGAGCTGTGGGAGGCGAGTTTGTTTGTTTGTTTGTTTGTTTGTTTGTTTCTTTGTTTGTTTGTTTGTTTGTTTGTTTGTTTGTTTGTTTCTTTGTTTGTTTGTTTGTTTGTTTGTTTGTTTGTTTGGAGCTGTGGGTGGCAAGTTACTACCTGGTGAAATCTCTATTTAGAGCTCGAACATGCCGTAAGCAGAGAGAACTCCGCTTGCTATCTGGAATCTCCATTAGCGATCGCTCTCCAGTGTCCCACCGGGGCTGAAACAAAAAAAAAAAAAAAAAAGGAACATTCAGCAATCCAACATCGTAAGAAGCAGTCCTTAGCACTGAATAACTCTCAGGACATACACACAAAACTAGGACTATTTTGCTTAGTTCTGGAGATAATTGCGGTCAGATGCATCCAGGTGCGTCCGAACATGCAGTCAGATGCATTTAAGATAGCGTTAGTGTGAGTATGCCCTCAGCACAATCAATGCATGCACAACATGTCAATGCAGACACCACTTCATTGCCTCTCGTCGATGCAGATATTCAGATTTCCTTCGAGGTCAGCTCACTGCAATACAATCAATTGGTGGTCAGGCATTTCTGGTAATGTCAGTGCACATATTACATATATATAAACTGATATATATTTATCATCACATAAATATCAGAGCGCAAAAGCGAAAAAAGGGAAAACAAAAAAGATATCAGCTCATTTTTTATCTTCTTCCTTACAACTCCCCCTGTTCAGAACCTCTTGCGTACAAGGCCGCCCACGTGGATGTAGGTTGAGCGGCGGCTGCCCCC